AGTTTGAAAATCTGTCAAGTATCTTGAAACTTCCTGGAAAAAAGACTTTTAATAATATGGACAGAGATTTTTTAGAAAAGAGAAAAAAGGATCTAAATGCATATTTGCAAGTAAGTCCATGTTTATTATTGTGCATAGATTTTCATTTAATGTAGCACACAGATAAAATATCTCTTAATTAAAGAATGTTTTCACTTTAGTAATGGGATAGCAACCACTTCTGAGCAGCTTATCAAACGTGATATGCAGTCTTCTCAGTAATTTATAAACACTATTTCTGTGTTTATTGATTAGCTTAAGTTTTCTAGGGAGTGTTAGGGATTTCGCTCATTCATGTTTAGATGACGATGTGTACACACACAGCCATTCCAGATTACTGTAAAGTTTCAGTATTTTATGGTGGACTAAATAGTTCAATGTTTCCAATTCAGTAGAAAATAGCTCTTCATGGTGTATCAAAGGCTAGCAGATTTTATTCCCAGAGAAATGCATATAGCTGCCTCCCATGGCCCATAATGATTCTCTAAAATTGTAGAGTAATTTAAGAGAGGGCTAGATCCGAGGAACTGTTATGTGTCCTGGGCATATAGTTTTCTTTTGTGGAATAATAAAACATATCTTACAAATTACTTACTGCATAAACAAGACTCCCAGAAATAACTTTGTTTTAAACCTGAGTGCTCAGATGCCAGATATAATAATAATATCACTTTATAGTTTTTTATACTTTTATACTTTTTATAGTTTTATGATGTACTAGACAAAGCGTCAGCTCAGATTTATAGTGTTCCCTCATTTAGCTCCCAGCCTCTCCAACAGGGGTTAGCAAACTATAGCCTTCAGACTTCTTCCAGCCTGCTACCTGTTTTTATCAAGAGTTAAAAGGGAGCATAGCCACCCTTTCATTTGTGATCGTCTATGGCTGCTTTTGCAAACAGCAGAGTTGAGTGGCTGCAGCTAAGATTCTATGTACCACAAAACCTAAAATAATTTCTGTCTGGCCCTTGATGGAAAATGTTTGTTGACTCGCATTAGAATTTAGTACAACTTAGCTAATAAATATACTGGATATTTTGTTTAGAAGGTTTTCTTTCTCTCTCTTAAATATTTATAGCTGTGATTGGGTTTGTTTATAACTATGATTATAATTCCATGTGATTATTATGTACTGAAAGTATAGCAAAAATATGAATCTCTGCTGTAATTCACTTTTGTCTTTTCCTGGCTTAAAGCTGAGTGATACCATTGGTGCTGAGACCCTTATCAAACATTTTGATTTTTTTTAAGTACCAACTTCAGTTCCATTAATATCTATATCATTTACTTATATGATTTTTGAAAATAACCACCATTTCCAAATCTGGTGTTATAAATGTATCTTTTAAGTGTGGCTGTGTTGTATACTTCTTAGCTAAAGAATGCAATATGTCAAACTTGTTCTATTGATGGAACTAAGCTAGACGGTTGTGAAAGCAGTATTTTGTTTGAGACTTCTTTATAACACCTAAAAGTTTTTATTTGGATTATTCTATGCCCTTTATTTCATAAAATTCTTTTTCTATTTAATGTTAACTCTAGAATTATTATACAAATAATATAACAATTTTCTAATGTGAATCTTCTTAGTATAAGCTATAAGGTCTTGAAAATAGAATAGTAAATATATTTGGACAACTTTCAATTAGATGCACTGAAAGTCGTAATACCAGCTAGGAAGAATATACACCAAACTGTTAATCATAAAATTATTGGTGACTTTATTTTAACTGTATATTTGGGTTTTTTAAATATAAAATTAAAGTTCTTTACTTTTTATGAGCTAAAATTATAAACAAAGTTAATTTCCAGCATCCTATCGGTTAAAGATGTCTCTTTTTTTAAATTTTTCTGTTAGTTATTGTTAACTCCTGAAATGATGAAAGCATCCCCTGCTTTGGCTCACTGTGTGTATGATTTCCTTGAGAACAAAGCCTACAGTAAAGGGAAAGGGGATTTTGCTCGCAAGGTAAGCAGACCATTACACTGGGTTTTCATACCTTGTTTTTAATAAAAGAAAATAAATTTACATTTTTATGTGTGTTTTAGATTTAGGGAGTACAAATGGTTTTTTGTTATATGGGTGAATTTTATACGGGTGAGTCTGGACTTGTAGTGTACCTGTCACCCAAATAGTACTCAATAGGTAATTTTTCATCCCTCACGCTCCTTCCACCTTCTCCCTTTTCTGAGTCTCCGGTGTCCATCATAGCACTCTGTATGAGCATACATACCCGTAGCATATGCATGCTCTTACAGGTAAGAGCATGTGGTATTTGTTTTTCCATTCCTGAGATACTTCTTTTAGGCTAATGGCCTCCACTTCCATCCAAGTTGCGGCCAAAGACATTCTTTCATTCTTTTTTGTGGCTGAGTAGTATTCCATAGTGTGTGTGTGTGTGTGTGTGTGTGTGTGTGTGTGTGTGAGTGTGTGAGTGTGTGTGACATTTTCTTTATACACTCGTCAATTGTACAGAACTCAGATTGATTCCACATCTTTGCAGTTGTGAGTTATGCTGTGATAAATACGTGAGTACATGTGCCTGTTTTATATAATGACTTATTTTCCTTTGGATAGATACCCAGTAGTGGGATTGCTGGATTGAATAGTAGATCTACTTTTAGTTCTCTGAGGAATCTCCATACTGTTTTCTGTAGAGGTTGTACTAATTTACATTCCCACCAACAGTGTATACATGTTCCCTTTCACTGCATTTGTGCCAACATTTATTTTTTGACATTTTAATAGCAGTCATTCTGATGAGGTGAGTGGCTATCTCGTTGTGATTTTAATTGTATTTCTCTGATGATTAGTGATGTTGGTCATTTTTTTCATACATTTGTTGGCCATTTGTATATCTTCTTTTGAAAAACGTCTGTTCATGTCTCTTGCTTACTTTTTAATGGGGTTATTTTTTTTCTTGCTGATTCGTTCGAGTTCCTTGTAGATTCTGGATATTAGTCCTTTGTCAGGTGCATAGTTGGCAAATATTTTCTCCCATTGTGTAGGTTGTCTGTTTACTTTGTTGATTATATCTTTTCCTGTGCAGAAGCTTTATAATTTAAGTACCATTTGTTTTCATTTTTGTTTTATTTGCTTTTGGTGTCTTAGTCATAAATTCTTTGCCTAGGCCAAAGTTGAGAATAAATTTTCCCAGATTTCCTCTAGAATTTTTATGGTTCTAGGTCTTACATTACATTAATCCATCTTGAGATAACTTTTGCATATGGTGAAAAATAGGGATCCAATTTTCTCAGCACCATTTATTCAATATGGCATCTTTTCCCCAGTGTATGTTTTTGTCTGCTTTGTCTAAGATCAGTGGTATGTGGTATTATTTCTGGATTCTCTATTGTGTTGCATTGATGTATGTGTCTACTTTTATACCAGTACCATACTGTTTGGGTTACTGTAGCCTTGTAGTATAATTTGAAGTCAAATAATGTGATGTCCCCACATTTGTTCTTTTTGTGTAGGATTGCTTTGGCTATTTGGGCTCTTTTTTGATTTTATATGAAATTTAGGATTGCTTTTTTTGATTTTGTGAAAAATAGCATTGGTAATTGATAGGAATTGCATTGCTGTAATCTGTAAATTACTTTGGGCAGTATGGACATTTTTTTTTATTTCAGCATATTATGGGGGTACAGATGTTTAGGTTACGTATGTTGCCCTTGCCCCCCCTCCCACCCCAAGTCCAAGTTTCAAGTGTGTCCATCCCTTGGATGGTGCGCATTGCACTCTTTCTGTATGCATATAGTTATCCCCTTGTCCTCCCTCCCTCCTACCCCCTCCCCCCTGCCCAACATCCAATAGATGTTATTCTTATATGTGCACTTATGTGTTGATCAGTTAATACCAGTTTGATGGTGAGTACATGTGGTGCTTGTTTTTCCATTCTTGGGATACTTCACTTAGTAGAACACGTTCCAGCTCTATCCAGGAGTATACAAGAGGTGCTATATCACCATTGGTTCTTAAAGCTGAATAGTACTCCATGGTATACATATACCACATTTTATTAATCCACTCCAAAAGTATGGACATTTTAACAGTATTGATTCTTCAATCCATGAGCAGGGGATGTTTTTCCATTTGTTTCTGTCTTCTGTGATTTCTTTCATCAGTATTTTATAGTTCTCCTTATAGAGCTCTTTCACCTCCATGGTTAAATATATTTCTACTGGCTTTTGCTTTTCTGCAGCTGTTGTAAATGATATTGAGTTCTTGATTTTATTCCCATCTTGGCTGTTACTAGTATATAGAAATGCTGCTTATTTATGTATGTTGATTATATAACCTGAGATTTTACTGAATTTATTAATACTAGGAATCCTTTGGGTTTTCTAGATATAAGATCATATCATCAGCAAATAGGGTTAGTTTGACCTCCTCTTTCCTGATTTGGATGCCCTTTATTTCTTTCTCTTGCCTGATCACTCTGGCTAGGACTTCTGGTACTATGTTGAATGGAAGCAGTGAAAGTGGGCATCCTTTGTCTTGTTCCAGTTCTTAGGGAGAATACTTTTCAGCTTTTCCTCATTCAGTATGATGATGACTATGGGTTTGTCATATATGGCTTTTATAATTTTGAGGTATGTTCCTTCTCTGCCTAGTTTGTTGAGGGTTTTTATCCTGAAGGGGTTCTGGATTTTATTAAATGCTTTTTCTGTATCTATTAATGTGATTATATGGTTTTTGTTTTTAATTCTGTTTATGTGGTGAATCACATTTATTGATTTGCATATGTTGAACCATCCTTGCATCCCTGAGGTGAAACCTACTTGATCATAATGATTTATCTTTTTGATGTGCTTTTGGATTGGTTTGCTAGTGTTTTGTTGAGGACTTTTGTTCATCAGGGAAATTGTTTTGTAGTTTTCTTTTTTCGTTGTGTCTTTTCCTGGCTTTGTGATCAGGATGATAAGGGCTTCGTAGAATGAGTTAGGGAGGATTCCCTCCTTCCCCATCTTTTAGAACACTTCAGTAGGTTCGGTAACATTTCTTCTTTGTAGGTCTGGTAGAATTTGCCTATGAATCTGTCTGGTCCTGGGCTTTTCTTTTTTTGGTGGTAGACTTTTTATTACTGATTTCAATCTTGCTACGCATTGGTCTGTTTGGGATTTCGATTTCTTCCTGATTCAAACTTGGGAGATTGTATGTTTCCAAAAATTTATCCATTTCTTCTAGATTTCCAGTTTGTGTGTATAGAGATGTTCATAGCAGTCTCAAATTATCTTTTGTATTTCTGTGGGATCAGTTGTAATGTCTCCTTTTTCATTTCTGATTGAGTTTATTTTAATCCTCTCTCTTTTCTTGATTAATCTTCACTGATGGTCTATCTATCAGTTTTGTTTATCATTTCAAAGAACCAATTTTTCATTTCTTTGATCCCTTGTATTGTTTTATTGGATTCAGTTTTATTTAGTTTTACTCTGATATTTGTTATTTTTTGTCTTTTGCTAGCTTTGGGTTTAGTTTGTTCTTGTTTTTCTAGTTCCTTGAGGTGTGACATTAAGTTGTTAATTTGTGATCTTTCTTTTTGATGTAGGCATTTAGTGCTAGAAACTTACCTCTTAGCACTGCTTTTACTGTATCCCACAGGTTTTGGTAGTTTGTGTCACCATTATCATTGAATTAGGAAATTCTTTGATTTTCATCTTGATTTCATCATTGACCAAAAGATCATTCTGCAGCAGGTTGTTTAATTTCCATATATTTATATACTTTTGAGAGTTCCTCTTGGAATTGATTTCTGGTTTTATTCCATTGTGTTCTGAGAGGATACATAGTAATATATGATTTTGACTTTTTAAAATTTGTTAAGTAAGACTTGTTTTATGGCCTAATATATGTCTGTCTTAGAAAATGTCCCATGCACTGATGAGAAGAATGTATATTCTTCAGTTGTTCAGTGCAATGTTCTATAAATGTCTATTGGGTCCCTTTGTTCTGCAGTCCCTTTTAAGTCCAATGTTTCTTTGTTGATTTTTCTGCCTCAGTGATCTGTGTGGTTCTGTCAGTGGAGTGTTGAAGCTCCCTGCTATTACTGTGTTGCTGTTTATATCTTTTTGTAGGTCTAGTAGTGTTTGCTTTATGAATCTAGGAGCTCCAGTGTTAGGTGCATATATATTTAGGACTGTTATATCTTCTTATTGAATTGATCCCTTTATCATTATATAGTGAGCATCTTTGTCTTTTTTTACTGTTGTTGATTTAAAGTCAATTTTGCTTGATATAAGAATAGCTACTCCTGCTTGCCTTTGGTTCCCATTTGCATGAAATATTTTTTTCTACCCCTTTACCTTGAGTCTGAGAATCTTTTCAAGTTACATGGGTTTGTTAGAGATAGCAGATATTTGAGTTATGTTTTTTAATCCATACCATCAATCTGAATATTTCAAGAGGGTCATATAGACCATTTATATTCAATGTTAATATTGATAATGTGAGATAGTGTTCCATTCATCGTGCTGATTGTTACCTAGTTGCTTTGTATTCTTCCTTGTGTTAGTGTTTTATCAGAGCTATTAGTTTTTACTTTCTAGTGTTTTTATACTGGTGAATACTGACCATTTGTTTCAATGTTTAGAACTTCTTTTAGCATTTCTCATAGTCTAGTGGAGACAAATTCCCTTAGCATTTGCTGTTTTGGGAAAGACTTTATTTCACCTTAATTTATGAAATTTAGTTTTACAGGATATAGAATTCTTGGCTGACAGTTATTCTGTTTAAGAAGACTAAAAATAGGACTCTAGTCCCTTCTGGCATGTAAGCTTTCTGCTGAGAAATCTGCTGTTATTCTGATGGGTTTTCTTTTGTAAGTTACTTGATGTTTTCATCTCACTGATTATGGGAGTTCCTCCTTCGTGTTGACTTTGGCCAGTCTGATTACTGTGTGCCTTGGTGATATACTTTTGCACTGAATCTCCTCCAAGTTCATCGAGCTTCTTGTACCTGGATGTCTAAATGTCTAGAAAGACCAGAGAAGTATTCCTACATTATCTCTTCAAATAGATTTTCCAAAAATAGGTTTTTTATTTAGTTCTTTTTTTTTCCTTCTTTTTGAGACAGGGTCTCACTTTGTTGCCCAGACTAGAGTGCAGTGGCGTCATCATAGCTCACTGCAGCCTCCAGCTCCTGGGCTCAAGCGATCCCCTTGCCTTAGCCTACTGAGTAGCTGGGACTACAGGTGTGCACCACCATGCCCGGCTAATTTTTCTGTTTTTTGTAGAGATAGGGTCTCATTCTTGATCAGGCTGGAAATTCTCTTTTTTCTTTTTCTTTTTTTTTTGACTGGATTAATTCGAAAGACTTGTCTTCAAACTCTGATATTCTTGCTTTTGCTTAACCTATTCTTAAAACTTTTCCACTGTGTTTTGTATTTCCCTAAATAAATTTTTCATTTCCAGAGTTCTTTTTTGTTTATTTGGTTATTTTTATCAATCTCTTTAACAAAATTTTCATTCATGTGCTGAATGATTTTTCTGGTTTCTTTGAATTAATTTTCCATTTTCTCTTGGATCACATTGAGCTTCCTTACAATTCATATTTTGAATTCTTTATCTTTCAGTCTTTTCATTTTGGTTGGGAACCATTGCTAGAGAGCTGGTGTGATCCTTTTGTGGGGGCACTGTCATTAAGCTCTGTTTTTTTCTACTGCCAGAATTTTTGTGCTGATTGACGCCTTCTAATCTGGAGAGACTGTCATTTCTTGTTTTGGAACTTTCTTTTGTTTAGATGTGACTTTTTTCTGCCCTTTTGAGTGTAGTGTTTGCTGGGTCAGGACTTTAGACTTTGCTTGAGGGTACTTTCCTGGGGGACTGTGTTCTGAGTGAACATCTTGGTTATATAATAGATATCCTTAACATGGTGGTTTTCTCAAATGCTAGTTATTTGTAGGCTGTAGCAGTCCCTGCCTCATATTGAGAAGATGAAATCTTTTAAATAATTTAAAATGGGATATAAGACCTATACTTGGAGTAAGATGCTAGGTTAAGACAGTAAATGGTTACATTCTCAAATTGGGCAGGGTAGTTTAGTGGGTAATAACACAGGCATTGAAATCAGGCAGTCTTTGATTCAAATCCCTGCCCTGCTGTTTACTAGCTGTGACCTTGAACATGTTATTTAACCTTTAGTAGGTTAGTTTCCTCAAGAAATGATGATGTTAATCCTCATTTTAGAGCATTATGTAAATCAAGTTTGATATTCTTTGTATGACAGAGCCTGGCAAATAACCTCTGAATAAATGTTTGTTCTTAGTAGCAATAATAGCAGGAGTAGGAGAAGCAGTTGGGGAAGCTGGGTGATGGATATGCAAGAGCAATTTGTGTTATTTTTGCAAGCTTTTATAAGTCTGAAATTATTTCAAGTGAAAATGTAAAAAGAAAAAGGACTTCTCCTCTATTTCTCTTCCCTCTCAAAAGACTAACCTTTTCTAAAAAGATTAAAGAATTGATACAAAATAAGTAAAACTAACAATTTTAACTGTGAGAATTTCATAGGATTACTCTAGGACAGTGGTCCCCAACCTTTTTGGCACCAAGGACCACTTTCATGGAAGACAGTTTTTACGTGGATGGGATTGAAAGCGGGTATTGGGTGGGGTGGTTAGGGATGATTCAAGCAGATAAGCGCATTACATTTATTGTGCACTTTATTTCTATTATTATTACTGTGTATTATATAATGAAGTAATGATACATCTCACCATAATGCAGAATCAGTGGGATCCCTGAGCTCTGATTAGGCAGTGATGTGAACGATGGGGAGCAGCTGTAAATACAGATAAAACTTGACTCCCTCGCCCGCTGCTCGCCTGCTGTTCAGCCCAGTTCCTAACAGGGCACAGACCGGTCCTGGTCCATGGCCCGGGGCTTAGGGTCCACAGCTCTAGGATGTTGGATTTAAGTATTCTAATGGATGTTAACATTTCTAAATTGAATGTTTGTTTTAACAAGTTCCAGGGTAATGACCTTATAGTGGTGGGGAAAAAAATATGGTGCTTATCTGCATAGTTTGTAATTGAAGTGATTGAGTTTAAATTCCAACTTTAAATAGTTTTATTGTTGATAGAGATGCGTTTCAGTCTTCCATCTTTTTGATGTTTATCTATCTTATTTCCTCAGTCTTAAGATTGTATCAGTTTTCAGATAAAGCAATTGATAACAGCTTTTTGAGATAGAGACGTTATATTAAATGTATGCAACTTTTTATTTATTTATTTTTTTATTTACCAACCAACAGTAGGGCATATGTATGCTCAAACAGACAGCACTTTTTAAAAAGATTATCAATGGAGTCTAAAAATTCTTCTGAATCGTTTCTGGCAATCCACAGTAACATCTGTTTTTCATAAGTCATGTCAGCTGTCACCAAGGTCATCTTGACCTCTTTTGGATTGTCAGAATAATCTGTATGCATATCAAGAATTTGGGGTTTTCAACTACATTTCCTTTTTGGCTAAATTATAGTTTACTTTTTCCTTAATTATATTACACTAGAAATTAAATAGCTATTAGAGAAAATCATCAGTAAACATTTTATCAGTGGCTATTGAGACCTTAAGAAATAATACTATATAACACATTAATTTGATCACTCAGTTTGTCCTAGCTTTGCAAAATCTGCAGAACAATTCCTAGAAAGAGTAACTGATAAGCAGCCTTTCTCTTTGCACACAAAGGATGTTTCTATCCAGTTTTGTATGATGATGTGAAGGCATTTTAAGCTATAGTTAGAGATCTGCGTTTAAGCTAAAATTCCATTGTATGTGTTGTTACCAATACAAATAACTCAACTGGGATGGTAATTGAATGAATAGACAGTATCTGTGTAAGTCAGCCAAAGTGTATACTGGAGCAAGCAATCCATAATTTATTTACTCCTGTGCCTGGTAATTTAAAAGTTTTTTTCCTTTCTTCCTAAAAATCTATTTTAAGACAAATTCTGTTTTCAGAAATGGTGTCATACGCTGATGGACTCTGCCTTTATGCTTATAAAATTCTACTTCCTTAAGAGTTAGGCATCTAGAGTCACCTGGATAGTCACCTATCCTCTATTCATCCCAGTTCCCTTCTAATATAGATACCTGGGGTTTACCCTCAGAAATTAGAAAAAATACAATTGATTCTGTTCCTTATGAACAGTCGGGGTCAGGGGGAAGGAAGAAAATAAAAAAGAGAAAAAAATAAAGAAAAAAATTGATTCTGTAAGTCTGGGATGGTGCAAAGGCAACTATTTTTAATTATAAAGTAATTCATTGTATAGATATAAGATCTCTTATCTTACTTAAAAGACTATCAATGGTAGTTTAGCCCCGTGCCTAGATAGCACCAACTCAAGTCATATTAGCTGAACTCAAGCTTCTGCTGTGAAGTGTAAGATGTATAAAAGTCTTAAATATTTATGAAGATATTCAAGCAGCTTTTAACTCGGGTTGCGTATTAAAGTGAAATTCATGCTTTTTATCCGTCTGAAATTCTATGTCTTCTGTGAAAGTTATAACTTATTATAGTGGTAGTAATTTTCCCTCAAGCTGCATATTTTAAATGTTATCATGCTTATCTCTTTAGAATTCTATATGTGTTGTGTTCTCATGACTTCACTTATCTATAGTGTTATTACAGTTAAAACACACATACATGGAGTGTTGGACATAATGTCCCAGTTGATTTGAACACACTGTTCCAGTTGACCAAAAACTATATATGAAGAATTAGAATTACACGTGTGCATGACCATGCGTGTGTGTGTGTGCATATACACACAAGAATTATCAGGTACTCATGAGATCACCTTTATCTTTTTATCTTTGGATCGCTTTTTACCAGTGGCAGTGTTTTTCAAATCCTTGCTCATCTCAGTTTCTGTCCTTTGCTTTTACTCTGAGTTGTCCTCTGGCAATGTCCCTCCTGAGGTTGGCTATTCCTCACACCTATCTACAGTACTAATAATAGTGAAGGAGTTTTGTCATCTTTTTATCATCTGTTAACATTGTGCTGTGTTCCGTAAGCAGTGAAGTTCAGTTTTGTCACTATTATTTTGTTTTTAATTTTTGCATTTGTTATCCTTGGTAGCTTTTATGAGATTCAGTGCTTTCTGGAAAATAGTCTTCTAGTTTTGTATGACTTTGGTTTTGTTTCCTTTTTTTTCATTTTTTGTTTCTGTTAAAAATCTCTCAGTCCATGTGTAGCTACTTTGGTTTCTTTAGATGTCTCTCTCTTAATTGAAATTATTTGACATTTGTACAGTCAGAATATCAATTTTGCCTCCTGTTCCTCTGGAGATTTCTATTCATTTTTATATGTCTAGTCATATTTTCTTTTATAGTTTTTGTATTGTGCATTACTAGAATATGATTTACATGTCTAATTTGCAACTTCTCTTTTTCTTCTTTGTAATGGACTCCAAATTCCCTCAATAGATTTTAATAGAGCCTATGATGTATCCTAAAAATTATTTTTTAAAAATATTTTAAGCATGTGTTAGTTATTTCAACTTTCTGTTATTTATTTTACCTGCTTGTTTTCTTTTCAGTGTCTACACAAAATACCTAATTGTTGCCTTGAATTGTGGCAAAAGTATGTAGTGGCTAATTCTACTTGTAGCAATTCCTGTTTTGGAAACGTTTTTATTCAGAACTTCTTTAATAAGAAGACAGCCTACCCTATGTTCATCTTTCTAGCAATAATCTCATCAGTCAAATTTTTAAATCATATATGTGAATGCGAAAATACACTTTTAAGACACACTAAAGACAACATTTCTTCGTTTTTAAAATGCAGTGACATAATATAGACTGGAAAATTATTACATCTTTTAGGTGTTATACTCTGTATTTTCTCAGGTTTCTCATTTGAATAACAAATTGGATACAATGAAGTCATGATGTAATATCTTTTTCCCTTTAGATGGACACTTTTGTAAATCCACTTCGCAATTCTATGAGGAATGTTTCAAATGCAGTTAAATCCCTTCCTGATAGCTTGGCAGAGGGAATGACTAAAATGTCAGACAACATGGGCAAAATGTCAGAAAGATTAGGTCAAGACATAAAGCAATCATTTTTCAAGGTAAGAAGACATTTTTTAGTAATGTCTAAAAGCAAACTATTTTTAAGTCAACTAAGATATATTTTGCTCCTGCCTAGATTTACCTTATTTCTCTTCCAAAGTCCTCTAGACACATAGTGTCATAAAGAATGAAAAACTAAAGAGAATAAATGCTTTTCTGAAACAGATGCTATAAAATCCAGTCACTTGTCAGTCTGTGCTGTGGTGTACAGTATTAAAATCCATTTCAAACAAATATTTAAAATTACTAAATTTAGTATTCTTTGTACTGTTTTATTTCATTGTGCTATTTTTTAATTCTACAATGCTATTAAATTCAATAACAAATACGTAAGTGCTATTTTGCAAATGAGTTATACTAGTATTCACTCAGAAAACATAAAGTATTATTACTCCTGATTCACATGATGGAGTGATTACCAGATCAAAGAGATGAAAAGTCCCTCACTACTGTCAGACTCTGGAGTCATACATTACTGGGTACATACCTCTGAAAGGCATAGAAGAATTTCCCAGGAAGCTTTTATCATTACATTAGCAGATAAAGGTACTGGACCAAGTAGTTTGTTGCAGTCCCAATTTACGTTTTTAAAATCATTTTGAGGCCAGGTGTGGTGGCTTACACCTGTAATCCCAGCACTTTGGAAGGCTGAGGAGAGAGGATTGCTTGAGCCCAGGAGTTCTAGACCAGCCTGGGCAACATAACAAAACTCTGTCTCTATAAAAACAAACAAAAAAATCATTTTGACATAGTTATTTAGTATAGCTTATAATCAATCTATAAAAGAAATCTTTGAGCTATTAGAATTTTCTATTTGCTAGATTATGTTTGAATGAAGGGAAAATGTATATAAACATAGATAGGTTATCTTTAATGTAAGAGACCATTCCTAAAATAGTGTGTGTGAATCGATACTGTTCTTTCAATTCTCATACTTTCCCTGATGCTTTATTTTTACTTCTAATAGTGAGGAAGTATACTAACACTGAAATAAGAATTTTTCAGTACCTCTTCCTCTGCTAACTACTCCTATGACTTTCTGCAGAAGTCACTGGACTTTTCCAGGCTTCCTTATCCTCACCAGTAATATGAGGTGGTTAAAACAGGTTATCGTGATGGTCCTGGTGCTAACAAATGATTTTCCACTAACACTGGTCTTTCTGTCCTCTTTGCATAACCTATCAAACAATTGGTTAATTCCTTAAACCTATTAACATACTATCAAATGTTCTTTATGGTAAAAGAAAGAAGATTAGACTTCTGTTCCCTGGCTGTACTACTAACTACAGGCATGTATCACTTAACAACAGGATAGGTTCTAAGAAATGTGTCATTAGGCAATTTAGTTGTCATGCGAACATCATGGAGTACACTTAGACAAACCTGGATGGTTTATCCGACTATAGCTAAACACATAGCCTGTATGGTATTGCTTCCGGCTACAAACCTGTACATGACATGTTACTGTACTGGATACTGTAAGCGGTTATAACACAATGCTAAGTATTTATATATTTAAACATAGAAAAGGTACAGTCAAATTATGATATAAACATGTTGACCAAAATGTCATTATACAGTATGTGACTATTTGGTCTTCAAGTCATTAACCTTTGTTAGATTTAATTCTTCTAAAAAGTCTGGGAATTTTAAGCAATCTCCCCTTCCAACTCAAAAGTCAGTCCTTTTTTTTAAAGGAAAAAAAACTTTTGGCAATGAAATAATCACCCTTTTGTAATTGCTTTCAAACTTTAATTGTTAAAGATTGCTTATATATTGTACCAAAAATCAAATCAAATGCTGATACTCATTTCAGTTTATTATTGTGTTGTGTTCTTTCACTGTCTGCTTTAGTTTGTTTACTTTGTGGGGTTTTTTTTTTTCTTTTTAGGTGCCTCCTTTAATTCCGAAGACTGATTCAGACCCTGAACATTATCGAGTTTCAGCTCAACTTGATGATAATGTGAGTTAATTTTATTCTTGGTAGTATTTGGTTGTAATTTAAATCATACTTGGCAGATCTCTTTAACTTTTTAATGAAGTAGGATATGTATACATATTATTAATGTGCACATATTGTAAGTGTGAAGCTTGACAAATTCTTAGAAACTGAGCATGCCTATGTAATCAGCACTCTGATCAAAAAACAGAACATTACCAGCCCCTCATCCTCTCTTCCTGTCTTTACCTTTCCCCCACCGAGGATAGTCACTATCCTAACTAATACCCTGCTTTTATACTTTATGTAAATGAAACTGTAAGATATGTACTCCTTGAAGTCTGGATTTTTTTGTTCAACATTGTGATGTTTTTCCATCTTGTTTTGTATGATTACAGTTTCTTCATTCTTATGGCTTTATAGTATTCCATTTTGTAAATATAGCACAATTTGTTGTATTATGAATAGTACTCCTATGAACATTCTAGTGCATGTTTTATGGGGAAAAAAAAAGTACAAGTTCTGTTGAATCTATACCTAGGAATGAAATTACTGTATCAGAGGGTATGCTTAAGTTCAGTTTTAGTAGCAACTGCCAAATAGATTTTCAGACTATACACTTTTAATGTCACCAGCAGTACATGGAAGTTCCAGTGTTCTTAGTCCTGCCAGTACTCAATATTTTGTGTCTTTACTTTTAGTCATTCTAATTGTTATATTTCGTTTGGATTCACATTTCTCTGATGACTATTGAAATGTTGAACACTTTTCTTACATTTATTGGCCTTTTGAATGTCCTGTCTTATGTGTCTTTCCAGATCTTTTGCTCATTTTTTTTTGTTGGCTTGGCTGTCTTTTTGATTAGTAGGAGTACTTTATATGATCTGAATATGAGATTTTTTGTCTTATTCATTTGCATCAGATATATCTGACAGTATCTTCTATTCTCTGTGTTGGTTTTGTGTGCTATGTATGTAATGTGTGTCTACTGCAAGATCACAAAGATGTCCTATGACTTTCTTTAAAAACCTTTTTTGTTTTACCTTGTCAACATTTAGATTTGCAGTTCATCTGGGATTAATTTTTGTATATGAAATGAGGTAGGGGTCCAATTGACCCAAGCACCATTTACTGAAAAGGCTGTCTTCTCTCCACTTTGCTGTTTCTCCCCTACCACAAATCAGGTTATTGTATTTGTTTGGATCTGTTTTGGGGCTCTATGTTCTGTTAAAGTTGTAATTATCTCCTTTTGGTTTCTGATTGAATTTGTTTGTAATAAACTGTCTTAAACAAAAATAATACTTTGCTTTTTCAAGATTATTTTAGAATGTTTTATTGAGTATTGCTAGTTTAATAACCATAACATCATACCTTTTGGCATGGGGTTTTTACAGTTTAACTGTTGATTAGACTTGTCATGTGGCACTGAACTCCTCTGAATATACTTGATCAGAGAATAGAGCGGTATTTATTCTGCCTCAGTAATAAAATAGGTCTCCCTTTCCCCCTGGTTTGGTCAAGCTATACATTTTCAATTTGTGAAATGGAAGGTATACTAAGAAAATGTTTACAACATGACAGTGAAAAGTGTATAGCTTATGCTTTTTCCTCGATATTTAAATTACATCACTGATGAAGAAATAGTTGGAAAGAGTTTGAAAGAATTATAAAATTACTAGCAATTGTGTGTTGTCCTAAATCTATACTTATTTTTTACTTGTATTTTTTTTTTTACCTCAAAGCATTCCAGTTGTCTTCCTTTACTTTTTACCTCATTGACTGAATATGTCCATAATAAAAGTGTACTAATTTTTGGTTGTTAAAAGCTAAAAGAAAATTCTAGTAATTTAGTGAAATGCACCTTTGGCAATGTTAATTTAGTTGTGTGCTGGATTGAATTCCAGCTGCTCTTTCCTGAAAATACCTAAATACATACAACTTACTAACCAAGGAAAACACATTATTCTGGATAAATTGTGTTTTTTCCTATTAAATACAGAAAGATATTGAAAATATTTTATTCTTATTAAAAAGATGCATCAGAATATAGGCAAAGCGTCTAGGATATGCCTTATCAAACTAATACAGTCTCTACTAAAACAGCCAAATCATTTTTTTCTAAGATGATCATGAATCTACTTTGAGAAGTGTTTCTAACTATAGCCTTGGAATTTACTCATCATTCTAGGATTGTAAAATTCTGTATTTTGTCAAAATGAGCATTAGAAATATTTTTTTCTAAATCAGAATGAAATGTCAAGTTATGAAGATGATAATGTAACTTGTTCTCAGACTTATGAAATAGTACTAATCATTCTGTAAAACCAGCAAATGTAGCCATTTCTAGTAAATAGCTAACTCAAACTTATTCTTATTTCTTCCCGTGTTTTGTCAGGTGGATGACAATATTCCCCTTAGGGTAATGCTACTTCTCATGGATGAAGTATTTGACTTAAAAGAGAGAAATCAGTGGTTGCGAAGGAATATCAAAAACCTACTTCAACAACTTATTAGAGCTACATATGGTGATACTATTAATAGGTACCGCTCTTTTTTCCCCTCCAGTTATAGTCTGATCTTACTTAGCTTTTAAACTTTTACTTCTGGAAGTAGATTGCTCAACCTTTACAGGAGAATTTCCTTCTCTTGGCTTTTTAAGATTATTAAGCAGTCTGCTGCTCTCAAAGATAATTTATTTTCATATTAAGCTGCTTGCTCCATGAAAGTCATGTTTATTTTATTCACCTTCTAAATTTTAAGATTGCTTATTTACCTTTTTTTACTTTCAGAAAAATAGTTGATCATGTTGATTGGATGACTTCACCCGAACAAGTAGCTGACTCAGTGAAACGTTTCAGGTATATCTTAAGACACAGTCACTTCTTTCAGGTAGTACAGAGTTTAGCATTGTTATCACTAATTAACTTTTGTTGCTTTTGTTTCTTTCCTGGCCATAAAATTGGTTTTAGTTATCACTGATGAGCAAAAACTTCTATGAATTATAATAAATGTTTGTCACATGGACCCATTGATTTTGGTTCCTTTAAAACCAGGGTAGGGAAAGTATTAAAGAAAAATCTTTAAGATGATGGGCTACATTTTTTCACAGTAGTATGGCTTTAATAATTGAAATACTAGCATAGAAATGACATAGTCATATAGTCAAATAGCTACTTTGGGGGTTAGTTTTGGTCAATTGTATTTTCCAACCTTGATTTTAAATGAAAAAAAAATTTTTTAAGTGTGTTTCTCTGGCTATGGTCTAATTTTTTATTAAATATTTGAATCCCTCAAAAGAATACAAATTAAGTAGCATTGATACTCTAATTCATATGTTCATTCTACAAAAATATATTGAGCCCCTCCATTGTGCCAATCATTGAGGAGTGATAGATAAGTTGCAGTCCCTCGAGGAAAGCACAGATAGTAGAGATATAAACCTCTTTTCTAAAAGTAAAGATAAGCAATGCATAAAATTTATGGCATCATGTACTTTGAGGGAAAGGAAAGGAAGCAAAAGGGAACTGTTAACATGGAACACTAACTGTGTGCTTGGCACGGTGCGCAGTACTTTTTGTGTGCTTTCTGATTTTATCCTGTTTTGCGAGGTAGGTATTTTTGTTTCTATTTTGTTTCTATTTTGTTCTGAGGAAATTGAGGATTAGAGTTTAGGAGTTTTAGTAGTCTAGTAGAGGCTCTTGTGCTGGAAAGTGTTTCCAAAAGTTGGAGAACCTGCCCTGGCATGTTCATTTTATTTTAGGGTAGGTGAATGATGTCTTCTGGAGCAGTGATTCTCAGCCTTGGCTGTACATTGGAATCACCTGCAGAGCTTTAAAATTTCCTAATGCCTGTATCCCATCTCCAAAGAGTCTGACTTAATTAATCAGGTGGGAGACCTGGACTTTTTTTTTTTTTTTTTTTTGAAGCTCCCAGATGTTTCTAATGTGCAAAATTTAAGAACAGTTGCTCTGGTGAGCCTCTCTCCCTCAAACCAAATTCTCAAATGGAAATTTAGATGTTGTGCACAGTTCCTGCCTTTGGACCAAGAATCAGGGAATAGGAATCAAGCACACTGTGAAAGTCAAAAAGAATGGGTGGTTATATGTGTGAAAGGACCATTGTAATCAATCCAGCTGTAAGATGTGGGCACGAAATTTAGTTTTATATTGACTTATATAAGGCAAACGGTGGCATAACTGAGAAAGATTAGCTGTTAAACTCTAAGGTATCCAAATTCAGGATATCATGGGGTTGTATTTGGATGAGATGTTCAACCAGCAGATGCCCACTTTGAGCTTTCATGGTGGTGAATGATCATCTGTATATTCTACTGTCTTTGTTAGTGTTTATAAACTACTTCAGGACAGAATTCATCTGTAACTTTTCTTGTGTGGATCCTTTTACCCTAAAATTGAACCCTGCACTTAGTTGATGCTTGTTGAATACCATTATACTGAAATAAAATTTCAGAAATGTTTCGTCTTTCTGTTCACATTTGTGTTTTCTGTAGAAATTTGGAATAATTTTATCAACTTATATCATTAGAAAATGAAAATGTTTACAAAATTTATTTAATCTTTTTAAATAGAGATGCATTTTGGCCAAATGGCATTTTAGCAGAGACTGTTCCATGCAGAGATAAAGCTATTCGAATGAGAACAAGAATTGCAGGAAAAACTAAGTTACTTGCAATTATGCCAGGTGAGTGAGCATGTTTGGTTAAAAATCTCATCAATTTGTAGTTCTTCTGAATTTTTGGCATTGATCATGCTAGTTTAACTGCCTTTTGATTATAATAACTAGCTTTTGATAGCTTACTGTATACCAAGTACTGTGCTAGGCACTTCTCATATATTCTTAACTAATCCTCATAACACTACTATGAAGCTAGGCACTGTTAACATTACAGCTTTATTGGTAAGAAGCAGAAGCTCAGAGAGGTTAAGCAACCTACCCAAGGTTTATAGCTAGTAAGTGACAGCTAGGATTCTGACTCAGCTTTGAGTGATTTGAAAGTTTGTGCTTTTAACCACCTCACTCACCTGCCTTGAAAAATTTGGGGAGTAAAGTTGTTAAATAAATAAAATACAGACAGATGAAAGAATATGAAGTATGAGTTTTTCAGGAAGAATATTTGTTCTACTTAGGAGAACAAATTCTTTCAAAGAATCCATTTACTTAGAAACAACTGCCCATTATTCATCTTTATTAATTAAAACATAATCTAAAGAATACATAGTGACATTTTGTTGGTCTAATTTTAGTTCTTTGGGATACATCTGTCTACTTAGATTTACTTTGTCTCATTTGTCTTCTCTCAGTAAGAGAGACTGTAATATGAAAGGCAGTTTTGCATGGCTGGGAGGTGGTAGTAGTTGTTTTAATGTCATACAGTATCTATTTCTCTTCCTATAATTTTGTTCTCTTATTTAAAACTATATTTTCATTATAAAATTTTAATGATCAGTTAAATTAGAGATTTGCCACAAGTCTCTCGATTCTTCTCTATATGCTTTTGGATTTGGTAAAAAGCAAATTACAGAAATAATATTTTAGAAAAATAAACAATAACTTAGGATATTATTTAATATACTATTATATTAAACCAGATTGTGCTATTTAATATATAGACTGACTCAGTTATGCAGCTGGAAGAAATTTTAATTCACTTATTCACTAAATATTTATTGAAAGTGTATCATATGTCAGACACTGTGCTTTGCACTTATGTTTTTCTTCTTGGAGTTTACGTTCTAATAGGGGAACTCAAAAAACAAACAAAAATAAAACAGTATGTTAGATAGTGGTAAGTACTAAAGAAAAAAATACTGCAGGAAAAAGGAATAGGCAGTGTCAAGTGGTTGTGGTGTTAGATAGGGTGGCCAAGAAAGCCCTCACTGAGAAGAGGACGGTGGTGTGAAGATCTGAAGAAAGTGAGAGTAGATAAAAAAGTATATGATTTTATATATACACAATTCTTTGCCTGTTTTTTAGTAAATTCACAACATACTTGCTTTAAATTATATTGTACCCCCAGTTAGATACAGACCTCCTGGAAGTTGCATGTTTCTTTCCAAAGCAGCGAAATGATACTTACGCTTTTTTGGGGCCCTGATGATGAATAATTAAGAATAATCATGGACATTGGTCCCATGCTCAGACATCTTGGTAACTGTGTTGTCTGTGGATAAACTCCAAACTTGCTCACCCTGATAGTCACAGCACTGTCGGCTTTCTATTCTATTCTCTACTTTCTGTTACAGGAATCCTAAAATTCTACCAAACTGTACTATCCCCATTTCTTGAACATGCCTTGTTATTTTTCCACTTACTGCATTTTTGCCCATTGGTGTCCTCTCCACCCAGGCTGATCCTTCATCTCATTGCACCTATCAAAACCCTGCCTAAGTAGCAAAGTCTGTGCTAGTTGTCACTTTGCTGAAAGGAACCTTTCCTTATTATCTATCTCATCTGTCTGGAATTCTCCCCACTGTAAACATTTTTATACTGTTAGTATTTTTATGGCATAGTTACTATATCACAAGTTTTTTAAGATCATGAACTAGGTTTTTGTGTGGTTTAGCATTTCTCACTCTTCATAGACATAGTAAGAATATTTGTGTAGTGTTTTAGAGTTTACAGATCACTTTTCACATCTCATTAAAGCCTTATAAATCCTTACAGCTATAAAGATATTAGTTAATATAAATACCCATTTAATAGATGGGGAAACAGGGCGGTGGGTAAGTATCAAAGGGATATTGAGGGACAGGATTGTGACTGTAATTTGGAATCTTTGAGTCTGGATTTTACCTCTTTCTCCTGTGCTGTGTTATCTCCCAGCCTCTATTGCATAACTGGATGGATAGACACATGCATTTGGAGATGCATAAATTTTGTTTCAGTTACAGTACATAGCTGAAATGCATTCACTGGATCCCTACTACTTCATCTTTTACTCTGCTGTCTACTTTACATACTTTAAGAGCATGATTTAGGCCTTGTGTAACGAATTATGTGTTTTTCTCCTTCTTCATATAGATGAACTGAAGCACATTATTGGGGCTGAGACAACACGGAAAGGTATTCTTCGTGTTTTTGAAATGTTTCAGCACAACCAGTTAAATAGGAGAATGGTTTATGTCTTCTTGGAAGGCTTTTTAGAAACCTTATTTCCACAGTATAAATTCCGTGAACTTTTCAACAAACTGCATTCACGGTCAAAGCAGATGCAGAAATATAAACAGAAACTTCAAACTACTCAAGCGCCTTCTTTACAGAAAAGGTGACACTCCAGTCTTTGAAGCCGGTGTTCATTTTGTCCAGGACTAATGGTATGGACAGATCTTCTGGGGCTTAACTCATATACTGTTGTGTCTGCACCAGTCGTTTAGTGTCTCAGAATAGATTATTAATACATCCATAAGTCTGTGGTTCTCATCTTCATCTGTAATCCAGCCACTACCAGGAGAGATTTCCGTGTCTTAAATGATTTGGTGCATATTTTGCAACATTGAGAGGATACTGCCCCCCATCTCAAGCAAGAATGATGTTGATCTCTTCCGTTTCAAACTAGTCAGCATTCTTCAGCGATGACAAAGTGCCAGAGTGTGTATGTGAGAGCTAAGGAAAGCACAAAACAATGGTTCACAGATAAATTGGCTAATTTGTTTAACAGTTGGAGACTGCAATGTATGCTTTGGAGGAATTTGTTTTGCATAATGATTTTGTAGGTCTGTGTCAACATTTTGATATGGTGTGGATTAGCCAGGTGAATGATCTTTGGATCTGTTTCAGGTCTGGGAAAAGTGACAGAATGCCCTTAAAGTGTGAAGTAACCATATATCCAAATTACAGTTTTGTGACTTAAAATGAAACTGAGTTTAAAATAAAACCAATCAAAAAACAGAATTTGATTGGATTTGTTATTCATTGGTATAAAACAATTTTAAATTGATTCTTATATGCTTTAAGGGCTCTATCTTGCTCTTATGGTACTTAAGTTTTCTTTTGGCATTTTGTGTACAAAAGGAAGCATGTGGTGGCTGTCATTTAAATTTCAAAATTGTTAATTTTATCTTTAACAGATTATTGACTATACAGAAGGGGGTATAATTTGTTGGAAGAACTGCCAAATACATTTTGTCCTTCTAAAAATACGGAAATTAAAAGAAAATAGTACTCTATTGAAAGTTACCATATGATAATTTTAAATTGTGTGATCTAGACATGCCTTAGGTAACTGCAGAAATAGCAAATCAAAGGATTAATGAGCTTATTAGTCTTATGTAAACATATAAATTCCTAATTCTATTACAGTGTACATATATGAAAATAAATAATGAAAACAGAACGATAATATTTTTTAAAATATGCTTTTATTTATACTTCACATAATGTAAAATTCTACTAAATAAAGCTAGTAGGCAAAACCCCTCAGTGTGTACATTTAAGTCCCTAAAACAATTTTATACCAACAAAACAAAATACCTTCTCCAGTTTTGGAGCCTCTGTATTTCTTATAGTTTTCTCTTTATTTTTCTTCGAAGTCTTCATATCCCTTGTATGCAGGATTTCTGCATAGTTTTAAATACTTCCATTGACTAAAGGTTTGGATGTATCACTTTTTTGTTTTAAAAATATTTAACACTAAAACCTTAAAATAGTGAAGCTACTTATCAGACCACTGAGCCAAGATTCTGGTATTAAAAGAACGTCTGGGTGCTTAAGATAAAGGGACAGAGTATTGGTATCCCAGTTATTTGGGAGCTTTAGATTGGAACAAGATATTATTGTCTTGTTTTCACTTAGATCCTACTTACAAAGTGAGGCCTATTAACAGAATAAAGCCTTCCTTTAAAGCTTTATAGTAATAATCATATTTATTAATAATGCTGTTGTGCATACTTGCAGTTTGCACATATTCAGCATTTGTTGCATGTCTTCGGAATAAAATAAATGAAATCCCTTTCATTGCAACTTGCAAGTGAGAAAAGATCCTTAGTGGCTCTGGTAGAAGAAATACTTCTTCTTCTCAGTGTGTCTCCCTGCCCCAGCCCCTTCCTGAGCCCCAGGCTTTAAAATTGAGAATGTGTGAAACATGTCTGTAGAAGGCATCAGCATGACCATAAGTGCAATGATTTTCATATATACCCCTGCCCATTTCAAGTATATTTTTGACATGAATAAATCTAAGAGTATACAGAAGATTTCATGTAAGAGCCTAGTGTGTACATCAACCAGGGAAAGAAAGGTCAGGTAAGATTGTGAATTTTCAAAACAGCCCTGCAAGATAACTTGCAATCATACCAAAAATTATTTGAATAAATGGGTTTTTAAAGTAATTTTTGTTTAAAAGAGTTTATATTTCAAAAGCCGAAATGTCAAATGGTAGTCTATGTAAACAGTAGTGCATCTTCTCTATGCACATCTGTGTTTTACATCAGAAAGCCGTGGTCATGCTAAAAATTAGAGATACTTTTTGAATGACTTGGTCAAGCTGTGTGTAAAATATTTAATCCCTAAGTCAAGTACAGTGTACTATGTTTAATAAAGTTATTACACTTAATGCATTTATTGCATATATGAATATATACACGAAGAGGCTTTATGTCTTCTGGTATTTGATTTTGAATGTGTTTTTAAGTCAGTGGTGCCTTTAGGCAAGAACTTTCAAAATTAATCGTTCTTTGGGTTTTCTGATTTTTCAGGTAACATGTAAACTATTTAGAAACCATCATAGTTTATTCACCTAAAAAATTGATTGTATGATTTAAGTATATATCACTTAGATGGGCATTTCCTATAATTAGGGTGTTCTGAATAGTTGCTGAAAACAATTGTGCCATTGACCAATGGATGCACTTGGTTAGCCTTAATTTTTTTTAAAAAAAAAAACATTAAAAACTTCCTTGAATATTTCAGTTTGTTCATTTTAAGTTTGTGCTGCTGGTGTTT